GTGAAACAATGTAACTGTTTGAAAAATGTGAATCGATTATGTGAAATCACACAACCCGAAAAGATGGCCAAAAAAAATGTGAATTCAAAATGTGAGAAGATGTGAAGAAATGTGAAGCGGTTTTACCCCGCAAACTGAAAGGAGTCAAATGTGAAATTATGTGAAGTTCAAATCACATTTTTTTACATAAGAGGTCAGAATGTTATTTTATGTGAAAATGCTTCACATAATTTTACATTTGCCTATGTCCTAGATGATTATGTGATTTTATGTGAAAATTTTTGTAACAGGTAACAAACTTATTTACGACCGTTTCTAGGTTTCCGAGATTCCTCCTCAAATAGGTGTTAAAATGCAAACACATCGGGGTGAGACAAACTTGTGTGGCTTCTCGCGCCTCCGCTTCAGGGTCTTCGCCTCAGGTGTGAGGTTCCAACTTCACGTTGAGGTGCCAATTACACCCGATTTGCATAATGAGCGATGGCTTCTGACATTTGTTCTTGGTCAGGGAACTATGGTGAAGATAGTATAAATAAGTGCGGAAAAGCGTAACCAAAGAGTTTTAACTAAGAACAATTAAACAAGGGGTTTTGACGATAACCTGCGCCCAGAACGCAAACCAATTAGAGCGCCCGACAGGGATTTCCAGCTTTTATGCGTCTCTCGCGTCAAAGCTAACATGGCTTGTGTCTAAGCCCATTCGATTACACTGTGAAAAGAGGGCTGTTACACTGCAGACGTTTTGAGTGCGTGTGCTAGGAAACGTTCTGTCAAGTGAAGGGCGGTATTGTATTTGGACTTTATTTTCAAACACTATAGTACGCCTGTAGCCTATTTTTATCCTCTTAGAATCCTGTATGTCCTTGAATGTTACAAAAATGATTTTCTGCTACCAACTGTACATTTTTCACATATTTTAACATACCCGAAGTTCACTACGGTCCGTGTCTATATGCACGGTGCTGTATGTACTGAGTTCCTGTACATTTAGAACTCATAGAATATGTTTAACTCGAGACAGATAAAACCATTTTCAAACCGATATACACCATAATACGCTGTTAATATGTTAATATGCACGGGGCGTATGTACGGCGCTGTATGTACTGAGTTCCTGAACACTTAGAAGTCATAGAATATGTTCAACTCGAGACAGATAAAACATTTTTCAAACGGAGAAAGACCATAATACCGGGTAACTGTGGACTATTTTAGTTTTCCTTTAGATTAAACGATACTTTCGTTATCAGCCTGGAACCCATAACTTCTCAGTCAACAACCTACCCGAAGTTTACTACGGTCTGTGTCTATATACACGGCGCTGTATGTACTGAGTTCCTGAACATTTAGAAGTCATAGAATATGTTCAACTCGAGACAGATAAAACATTTTTCAAACGGAGAAAGACCATAATACTGGGTAACTGTGGACTATTTTAGTTTTCCTTTACATTAAACGATTCTTTCGTTATCAGCCTGGAACCCATAACTTCTCAGTCAACAACCTACCTGAAGTTTACTACGGTCTGTGTCTATATGCACGGGGCGTATGTACGGCGCTGTATGTACTGACTTCCTGAACATTTAGAAGTCATAGAATATGTTCAACTCGAGACAGATAAAACATTTTTCAAACGGAGAAAGACCATAATACTGGGTAACTGTGGACTATTTTAGTTTTCCTTTAGATTAAACGATTCTTTCGTTATCAGCCTGGAACCCATAACTTCTCAGTCAACAACCTACCCGAAGTTCACTACGGTCTGTGTCTATATACACGGGCGTATGTACGGCGCTGTATGTACTGAGTTCCTGAACATTTAGAAGTCATAGATATATGTTCAACTCGAGACAGATAAAACATTTTTCAAACGGAGAAAGACCATAATACTGGGTAACTGTCGACTATTTTAGTTTTCCTTTAGATTAAACGATTCTTTCGTTATCAGCCTGGAACCCATAACTTCTCAGTCAACAACCTACCTGAAGTTTACTACGGTCCGTGTCTATATGTACGGTGATGTATGTACTGAGTTCCTGAACATTTAGAAGTCATAGAATATGTTCAACTCGAGACAGATAAACCATTTTTCAAACCGAGAAAGACCATAATACCCGGGTAACTTTGGACTATTTTTACGCGACAATCTATTTTTCTACCATATGACACAGAAAAGGGGCCCTGATACATTCTCACCATATGTTAAAATAATTTCAATACACTGCGGCACCTTGCATGCTGCAAGTTTGAGCATCCTCGGATTGATAGTATTACAACGTACTTATTCCTCAGCAGAAACTGTCCCGATTATTTTTTTTTGCCTTTCGCAGCCCTGAGGCTGCAAAAGGCTTTGAGACAGGAATTTGAGTTCATTCCGTCCGTCCTGTCCTGTCCTTCCGCACGGTTCTATGATACATGTAGCGAGACATTGCTCCATGTAGATTCGAATGTTGATGCCAAGCCCATGCAAGGATATGTGGCATACGAACCGGGTAAAGACGAATGTGGTGCTTAGTTTATGTATTGTTTACGTTCCTATCAGCAGGCATGACCGGGCATGTAACGTGCCCTGCAAAACGTGTTTGTAGAGGTCTATTCAACTTGTAGTACTGTACCTGCAAGGTAAAGAAGAAACATAAAACATCTTTGTGTGTGTGCTTGGTGGATATTAGTCACACTTTGTTCCTCTTACTGAATACAACACGTTAGACAGGTTCCAACCATAGCGGAACTTGCAGAAACATTTTGCAATTTGATAGTCTTTCCTCCCATTAAGGAATTAGGCCACACGGACACCTCAGCTTCGTGATCACATCGAAATCGGTGAGGTTTTTCTTCGCGTGATTCTTGTAGAGTTTATCAACACTACAGGCAGCAGAATCTTCAAACTGCTGAAGGCGGCTGCCTCAATCGAAAGAAGGGGAAGAAAAATATCTTCAAGCTCATTCATTACAACTTTGTATACACAAACTAAGCGAAAGGCCAGCTTTTTCAAAAGCATTTCTTGTCACTTTTTTATCAGAGGACAATTTTATGCACGTAACAAAACTTCTTTCTGAATTACGGCTTGCTTTATAGACAACAAACACCATTGTTTTCAGGCATTTCTTGTTGCATATATTATCGTGTTTCCAGCATTGTCTTTGTATTGCACCAGAGCCAAAATTAACATATTAACAGCGCATTCGCCAGATCTTGTTGTTAAACTGCCATTCAACTGCCAGCTATACTCGGTGACAGACCAAAACTTATTTAGACCTCGCTTGACTGTCACATAGCAGAATTTTCACCGCCAAGCATCATGGCTGGGTTAAATATGGATTCCGAAACATGTACAGAACCAAGCAGTGAGGATTCTGTGATTGACACGTCTCCAGAGTTGGATACAAGCCAAGCGGACAATCCACTGATTCTTAGATCGGCCGTGCCCAGACGCCGTGATCTTGACCAGCTGTTTGAAAAACTGGAGAGGGTTTTTCGCCAAGAGGAGGAAACTAACGGTGCTGTTTCTACTGCTGTAGAATTCCGAGTGAACACAGCACAGACAAAATGCCTGATTCAAGTGGAACTGCGAAAGGGAAACGGCTACGGGTATTACATCTGCCCCTGGCCTTGTTGTCGATACGGGAGAAGAGCGAGGCACCAGGTTGCAGCTCACATCAGGAAGATACATTTCGGGCCAAACTTTTGTCCGGAATGTGGCCATGTCACCAAGACTCAGCCAGCTATCCAGCGCCATCGCAAGAGAAAAGGACATAACGGACGGGCACAACAACCGCTGCTTTATGTACACCAGGCCAATGCTGTCAGAACATATTGTAGGGAAGTGTGTGACGAGTTTTTTGTTCCTTTTCTGAAATACAATAGAATTTTGCTTTGAATTTTAAGAGTTGAGTTCATAAGGGCCAAGTCTGGGCCAAGTATACATGTAGGCCTGTCAAATATCCTTGTCCCTGACCTCAGTGCTCTTCACCATAAGAACATATAGAAATAGATACGATAGATACGTGATCTCCCATCAGATGCGGTCCCGGAGCCAACATATGCTATGAGAACAGATACTAGTAGCAGGTGACCGACAAAATGTTCTAGTGTTGCTATTGTTACGTTGTCCTTTCATAGCTTTTGTTCTTTTGATACATTTTTCTTTTTGACAAATGTAGCTTTTAGACACTGTATTAGTATCGTTCGGTATCGTTCCAGTACTGTTTTAATTCAGTAGAAATCAGTACTTACAGTAGGTCCAATTGATAGGCTTAGGGGACGGGGATATGGGGAATATTTAGTGAATATCTAGATACGTGCATAAACGGTGTTGTAGAAGTCAATCTTCCCTTTGTACTTGTTTCTATAAGACAGTCGCGTTTTATACCTGCTTCTGTACCGTACGTTTCAAAGAGCTTTGTCTGAAAAAGGTACAATACGCGTGAAATACCAGAGTCGTCCACTTACGCGTTCTTTGTATGCATATTGTGACAATGTGGTTTTATAGTCAGAAACCTAACGCAGTTGAATAAAACATTAGATGATTTTTTAGATGACCATGTTGCACTGTCTGTTTTGTTGGTTACAGCAGCATTAGCGATGGCGAATTGACTTAAAATCTGGGTCATACCATTCTCAGGCATATAGCATATGCTGGAATTATCGGCCGACGGTGGAGCGCGCTAAGCTTAGGATAGGTGCCGGTGCCACCACGGTGTCTGGTATACTAGTATGTGTGTGTGGTGGGTGGGGGGGGTTACCTTGTTTGTCAGAGTTTGTGTTTGTTTGGTTTTGGGTTATTTTGGCGTGTTTTTAGGCTTTTATCGTTTACCTCTGCTCCAGGAGCAACAAAAAGGCCCATATAAAACATATCCGTAGACACGTTATTGCTGTTTTGAGTCAACTCTTATACAAATTTAAATAATGTGATTCTTCCCGAGTGGAGAGGTGTTAATTAGCTACAAGTGTGGTACATTTTTGTACCTAGTAAAAGAAAAGAGCAAAAAGCAATCGAATTCAATTTTCAATTCTATCTTTAATCTCATTTGACAAGGCCTTTGGGAAAGGTTTACAACTTTTTATTGCATTGGAAGACAGTATGGAAATCCTTAGTTTTGTATCACAAAGAAGCTCTGAACTCAGTCTCTTTTAAAAAAGTATTACACAGTGTGTATACTATATACCCCACTTAACACACGTCATCACGGTGAATGCTTGGTAATTTACTACTAATGTAAGCGACGTAAGCACAAATTGTTTGCAATATGACGCTTTTACTGTTCAACATTGACAGAAAAGATACACAGGTATTCAATTATTACAGCTCAAGACTACCACTCTTACCAAGGACATTATACACAGACCTTGTTCCTACTAATCAGTACCTTTTGAATGTAAATTTTTCATCGCTGAATAAAGACAAGATGAAAACAAAACAAAAAAAAAACTACCACTGTGACAGTGTTGTCATCTAAACGCCCTAAACTCCAGTGTGATCATCATACATACTCTTCAATGCCTCGTGGCAAGACACATTGAAGTAACCCTCTTTCGTGCCTTCAACAACAGGCACGTCCATCATAAGTATGTACTCTTTGTTGGGCGTGTCGATGTCGTCCTTCCTCGGCCACATATAGTTACCCCCTGCCTTTCCCTCCCCAACATATTCCAAATACTTCACCACTGGGCCTTTCTTGTTCACTTTTTGTACCTGCCCGACATAGACACCATCATCATAAGCGACTCCTACCCATTTGTCTACTTTCACGTTTCTAGATAGCTCCTTCTCCTTGTGGCGGAGATTGACCCAGTCCCAGGAGACAACATTACCAATCTCCACGTCCCCCCACCTAAAGTTATCAGCTGCGCTGTGCAGCTCCCAGGACACGTGGGCAGAGCGATTATCGGGTTCTTCCCCGGCTTCCGTCTTCTCCGTCACTTGCACGCCGCCAACGCCCTCATTCATCTCCTGGGTATCTGTGCATTGTGACAGAAATGTAGACGTCAGTAAACTTGCCTGGGTTGATGTTTAATATCGACCAAAAACATTAAACAAAAAGGCTTATTACACTCGTTCACACGTTTAGATAAAAGCTCTCTATACCGCCTGCACAATTACTGGTGTCACCAGACTACTGGTGTCAAAAGACTTGTGTTTTAGATTTGCATGATGATTACCGCAAGGGAATTCCGGAAAGGGAAACTGGAATTTGAACAATACTTTGATTTCTTTGGAATAATTGTGGGATGAACTAACCTGTATCCTTCACTTCTAACATCACCACGATGCCCCGGCCCACTACAGCGTCCTCCATAAGAAGCTCGACTTCATCCCTGAAAAGAAGACAATGACGTAAGTGAAACTTCATGGAGAAACTTAGCCTGTGTCCTTTTAACTCCATGGTCTGTGTAACGCAAACGTCCGCGACTTTAGTGGCCCCTGGATGTTGGGCGGCCGGCAACCATAAAGCGATTTAATCAGGCTACTATAATAGTATGTTATGAAACCATGGAGTTAGAAAATCAGTGTTTGACTCCATGGTGAAACACATACATTAATACCCCCCCCCCCAACAATGATGGTCTATTGTGTTTTGACTGCTAACGTGCAAATTGTACAGGAATTAATGACCTCTGTTTTGTTCCATGTCTAATCACACTTTTCTATGTGCTAACAGCCTAAGTAGCTACAATATTGCCAAGATAAAATCTGTTGGTATCAACTTAAACGTCAGTGAATAGCACCGTGGTGCACAAAAAAATATAAGGATTAAGTTTCTAGGTTGAATATCGTACAAGCAATGAGCTTTACTAGTACAATGTTCTACTCACCCCAATTTCCAGGTTTTCTCTCCGATTTTCTTGGACCGTCCTTTGGGGCGGGTCTCCTGCCGCTCCTCCTCGGCGGGTGGGGCTTTCTTCTCCCCGCGTCGCTTGCAAGGACCTTTGACATAATTGTCACCTGCACGCCTGTCATGAGACAAAACAATGACTCCACTATACATATACATTTTGTATAATACCACATGGTGTAATCTGCATCCGCGTGACCGGAAAATTTGGAAGTTTTGAAAGCGCGTATATATTTGGAGCTGCATTACAAATCCCCCCCCCGAAAAAAATCTACATGGGGATAAGTTCAAATTACTGTAATATGATTATGAAACTTTCAAAAGCCTGTGTGATAGACATTAGAACCCCGTGTGATTCTGCTAGTTATCACATGGGTAGGTACTAGTACATCTGTTTCGGACGTTATCCTTATCGCAGCCCAGGTATGACATAAAAATAGTTCTATTGTATAGTATAAGATGCAAGGAGGTTTCAATAGATGAGCAACAAATCAATTTTCGAGATAGCAAGTTGTGTATGGGGATTAAGAACAACTTACTTGAAATTCTGGTGCCTTCGTTGGCAGTTCAGACTGTTTCCGATCCTACGCTTAATCTCCTCCCTCTCATCCGTAGACCTCTCAAGGGCAGGGCAATACAGAAGCACCTGCAATGTACATGTAGTTATGTGAAAGATGTATACTGAATAATGCATACACACATGGACCTTGTCAAGTTGACAAATTGTACGTTAAACAACCCTTGTCCTGCGGAGCCCATATATATGTATGGGTTGCACATACAGTACCATCTATATAGTGCCCTGTATATGTACGATTTGGGGGTGTTTCTCGTGCAATGCATCACACCGCAGCGAAACGCAACGAATGCGGAAGTAACTACGCCACCGCAGGCCAAAAAAAGTCAAGGGTCTGTGACCTGATTAAGACATGAAATTATTTGAAAATATTGTGTAAAAATTGCCAGGAGGACAAGGGTTTTAATGTGTATAGATACTATAGAATGATCCCTTGATATGATATACGCTGAGACCCCAACTAAGCCAATTCCACGTTAAATGTATACTAGTATTATAATTTGTTTACAAAAGCAAGCGCTGTGTTAAGTAATAGGTAGTAGATTTCAATTGTAGATCTTTAGGTCCAATGCTGATATAGTGAGTATATAATTTAGTATTGAAATATAGATATAGAAAATACCTGATCCACAGCCTTGTCCAGGTTGATGTGGCGCTCCCCGGTAATCCCATGGTCTGTTATAGTTTTGCGTATCTGCCTCTGAAATAAAATCAACAAACCAGACATGAGAACACATCTTGGAATGACTCAAGAATGCTTGTTTGTAGAGACTTGTTTGTGCTACGCGCTACATAATGTTTGTAAGGAACAAATACAAATATGCGAGCCTTACCTAGGCAAGGGGGTTGTGTAACTTCAAGCACAAACCAATAAAAGTTTTGACACATCTTTTTACCACCGTTCTACCTCCAGCGCAAGAAATGGTTCGTCGTAGCCCAACCCCGCCCCCCCCTCACACACACACACACCGAGTCTACGAATGAGACCATCATTTTACATCGCGCACAATTTGAAGGAAGTCTGGCGTTTTCATGATTTTATAATACAAAGTGTAGTAATGTAGTAGTGTAGTACTTACACAGAAGTAGCTTCTGCCCGATCGTCCCTTGCCTTGAGTACGCTTGAGTGCCTCCCTCTCAAAATACACGAATCCTGGCAGGTGTATCTCCAGGTGAGCCCTGTACCGATCAAACTCGCTGTCCTCTGGCGATGGGATAGCGTCTTCCCACCCAGGAACAGACGAGTAGACGGCCGAGCGTTTGTCAGCTGTAGACTGGTTTGCTGCAGATACAATGGCTTGGAGAAGAGTAGAGACGTCTGGCTGGCTGGGTATAGATTCGTCTGTTTCGGAACAGACAGACGAGTTGTGACTAGACGCCCCGCTTGACTCCCTATCAGCGCGGGGAGCCGCACCTGCCGCTGCCTGACGGATAAGCTGAAGCAAAGCGCCCTGCGCCTCAGAAGCATCCATAACTGCGTTGGCAAGCAAAGAGACAGGAGAACGTATATGTACGTACTAAAGGAATAGGTTCACGCACTGAGACCGTTTGAAAGTGCTGCATTGTGTAGTGACGCCACTAATCTACATACCCGACCCCTAGTTTTGCATTTCATAGGGCAAAAGGCTTACTTGTGCTTTGTTCGCAGGGTTACATTCTTTTGCGCAAGGGTGCTAACTTTTGAAAACAATTATAAAAAATGTAGAACTATTTCAGACAATGTCTCTCCCCCGTTGGCCTCAGATAGTTAACATGAAAATGACCCCGCCGCCGGGATGGCGCTCTTTTGCTATTGTTTGATGCCGCAGCGCGGTTATTTCAAAGAACCTTTTAAAATTCGAAGTGTTTACAGTTTCTCTCATTTTTGGCGGGCTGTACTGGCAGACACGCGTGCCATGATGTGAGGCATGGCAGCCTACAGACCTACGAAAAGGAGATTCGAAGGATCTTGTATTTCGGATGACAGATGTGGTGGTGTTAAACAGCGAAAACCCTTCTCTGAAAATTTAAACGTTGAAAATGTCCCGACATCGCGAAACCGTAGTGAGAACAGTAGAGCCGGGAGAAAAAAGCACGGAGGTGTGGACGCTACAACAGGAAATCCCGAACCGAACGCAATCTCCGAGTCCGAAGAAGACATCGCAAATCTCATCCAACAGGCAGCGCGCCAACACGGATACAACCATGATTACACGTCGATTCTTGCTGTCCTAAAAACCCTCGCGATGAACGTAACAGACCGCTATACAAGGGCAGCAAGGTGTCTCAGCTGCAAGGTGCAACGTTAGTCTTAGCAACATTTGCGCTGTTCCCGGGAACATCAAAAACATCATCCGACTATCTGTTCAATCTCCTACACAACTATTTGTTGCCGGACGACAACTGCATGCCGAGTTCCTGGACTAATGCTCAGAAACTGATAGATGACTTGCTGACTCCAAAAGAGACAATTCAAGTTTGTGTGAATGACTGCGTCGCCTTCATAAAGGATCGAAAAGACCTCAAGAGGTGCCCACAGTGCAACGAAGACAGGTAAACCAGCGCATATATTCTATTTAAAAATTTGGGTTCTACACATATATTTTCACAGAAGAAAAAGCTTAATCCTCGCTTGTGTGTTTCGTTGTCTTCGCAGTCATAGCAAAGAGCTTGGTCATGCATTTGAATGGTATTCCAATTTTCATCGATAAAGCTGAATTTGTTCGCTGTGTTCTTTTTGGGCCTGTTAATGCTGAAATCATTCCCACACGGGCCCCGACCGGGCCTGGGAGCTTTTGGGAACAAATAGTACGATAAAAGACAACAAAACACAGACGAGTTTTTAATAATAATCATGGGCACTATTTCTGTATATTCTTGATATCACTTGTTGATATGTATTGTAAATTTTTCGTTTATTCAAACAGCCCAGCCGGGCCCCCATTTGGAAGTGACTTTGGAAGTGCATAAGACAACTGGGGTTATATGCTGAGGTCGCATATTTTCCAAACCGGGGCCCGGCTCGCCCTCCCGGGCTGCTAATAATCAACAATTTATATCAATAATATACGCAAATAGAGCCCATCATTCATCTTTTCAACTTTGTTGTGTTTTGTGGTCTGTTATATAATACTTTTCGTCCCATTCCCGGTTTGGAAATGTGACCTCAGCATTAGTTATTTGCCCGTAACTTTTGATGGACGTCATCTGTTTTCAACGAAATTTAGCCAGATTATGTAAATAAGATGTTGTGATCGTTTAAGATCACAATAATGCCTAAATTTTGGGCTTTTATAGACTTTTCTTAACTTTCTTATCTTTTTTTGTAATAATCAATGTAGTGATCAAAGACATTCCCAAAAGTCCCGCCTGTAGTAAAGAAAGTTAAATCTGCATAAATTCCGTAAAAAATCTGACATCCTGGTGTGATCAACAGCCTACAAACATAGCGTACACCACTTTATAGCGTTACGCTGTCAGCCCAAGGCACCAGTCCCCGTTTCGCGCCACTCCGCTCTCCGGCCCGGGGGGGGGGGGGTCCGAACCTGTTCGGGCTGTACCGTGATAAAATGCAAGCCACTTTGTTTATATTTGATAAACATTTGGCTAATGTCTGTAATGCTCCCCTTTTTAAACATTTTTAGTTGCTGTTTTTGTATATACATCCTTTTATTCATCTCCTATCTTTAGAAACAAAAATCATATGAATGCACTGAAAAAGTAATCAATCACCAGCTTGTGCAAACTACCCATAATTTCTATAAGTAACTCACGAAACGCCACCCCTGGTCAGATTAGTATTCAGCAGCCAAATGCTCTAAGCAAGGACTCGCTCTGAGCAAGGCCCTGAGTAGCCGTTTTGTGGTAATGTCTCTCGTGAAAAATAATTCATAATCCCGACCTATAGAAATTTCCGTGTCACATTTCATACAACTACACAATTATGGTCTCTGCAGACCAATGGACTCAATGTAGGGCTGAAAGGAAAAATTCACACCTGGGAAAGCGTGAAATCATATCGCGGCTTATTTTCCCCGAATAGTTATTCCTGCGTGTTCAATATTTTCTAGATTCAGTCTAGAATATTCTAGCGAAGAGTAAGAGGAATTCACATGGAACTTTGGTCAATGAATAATACATTTGTGTATTGCCATGGAATTACATCTTTCTTTTGTTCAGTTCTTTTCACACTTTAATATAATAGAAACTATTTATATAGCTAATAGAAATTATCAGAAGAGAGAGGATCACACAAGCACAAAAGCCTCCAATCTTGTTAGGTTTGATAAAAACTTGTCCTATCAGATCTCTGAAGCCTTGGCTGCTAGACCTTAGAAGCTGGTTGTGTATTGTTGTTTTAAAAGCCCTACTTCTATATTTTGCATGATATCATAAATAGCTACAGGAATCCAAATTAGGCAAGGAGCTTGGTAGAAGCTCCTTAATCTAGGTCACACAAGGGGGTAATAGAGGGAGATATAACCTCCTACTGTTGTAATAAATGTATTCTATGTTGTCTTTTTAGATATGTAAGCGGGACAATGAGACCAAGGAAGAAGTTCTTCTTTCTGCCACTGATTCCGCGCCTCAGACGGCTGTATGAGATTAAAGCCTTTTCACACCTTTTATCCAAACACATGGATAGAGGTGTAGCAAACGATATCGTTAGAGATATCCACGACTCGCCCGGCTGGCATCGTCAGTTCGAACAAGGGGGACTGTTCGAAGGAGACCCCCGGCATCTCCTGTTGCAGTTCTGCCAGGACGGAATGAATCCGTTTGACATGAGGAAGAACGTCTACTCTATGTCACCGCAGCTCATGAAAGTCATGAACCTTCCGATGACGGCACGTGAGAAACTTGGCTTCCTGCTCCTTGTTGGTCTCATCACTGGTGAGTGATAAATATTTATATTTGATAAATGGCCCATTCTTCTTTTGATTGCAGCTTGTCAATTGCCTGGAATAGTAAACAACATTTTAAACAACAATCAGTAGCTAGGCTGCGTGAATTAGTCAGGCTGACCTCAAATCCTGATACTAGGGTTCCCATTTTTGTCATGCCTGGTGGCACATAGTAAGGGAAAACTTTATCTATGTTAAATCGTAGTTTCCACGTAATTTCAATATGACAAGCATGATGATTTTACATATGATTGCATGCTAGTATACTAGAAAAATTTTCTCTCCAGCAGACCAACTCCCTTGGCATGCTATCTCTCTTTTTGGCCCATTTGTACTTTTTTCCAGCCGCTTCCCGAAGCCTGATAGAGGCTAATTTTATACCCATCCGTGCAACTATTTTTTTACAGGCCCCAGAGAACCAAGTAACCAGAATCCCTATTCGGAGCGACTGGTGGACGAGCTGCTCCTCCTGCTAGAGGGAGTGTGGGCCTTCGACGGACTCAAAAGGGAGGCCTTCAAGTTAAAGGCAAAGGTTCTGTTATACGTAATGGACTTTGTCGGGCTGTGCAAGTGCGCAAAGTCAAAGGGACCCGGTGCGATCACCCCGTGCAGCAAATGCTGGCTGAAAGGTCGGTATTGTTTGTCTGCCTATAGACATGTAAAGTAACTGTGTGGGTAAAGTCGGATTTTTTTCTAGAATTGCGACTCTTTGTACCATTTTGCATAAACAGTGTAACATGTTGCTAATTGTTCTCATTCTCTAGGGAAATACAGTCCTACCCTTTCAAAGACTGTCTACACTGGAGCAAGGCGATACCTGGCCCAAGACGACCCCATGAGGCAGGACGCAGTCAACTTTCCTGACAAAGCTGTGGAAGACCGGGGACCACCACGCTTCCGCACTCCAGAGGAAATGGACATCATTTCTGAACTCTGCAACCCAGAGACCACAGTTATGTCCAAGACCCTTCTAGCAAAGGTGCAGAAGGCTGCGGGAAAAACCGGGAAAGAAGAGTGGCGCCGTCTCCCTACATACAGTCATGAAAACTACGTAGTGGACATGATGCACACTGGCACGGTAAGAATACTAGTATTACTGATTAAACAGCGCTTCGCTCGTAGAATTAATCTGTAATTGGATCTGTAATTTTAACCTGTAAAAGCATTTTTTGCACAATTGTTAGCTTAAAACGAACAAGATCACCCTTTGTGTTTTCATACCCTTTTGTCATTAATTGATCAGAGTTCACTGACTTTACATTGAGAACAATACCGTTGTTGTGTTAAATATTTCAGGACATTATCCAGAAAGTCCACGGCGTCATGTGTAGCAATGACGACACAAAAGCTGTAAGGGAGGAAGAGAGCCGCCTGGGCCGCTTTCCGGAGTGTCGGGAGCCGAACGAGGAGGATCAGTGGGAGGACGTTGTAGAGCCAAGCCAGGAAGAGAATGGGGCATCATCAAAGAAAGTAAGTTTCCCTGCCTTTTTTATTCAGAAGCACAGTGATGAATACAAATGAAAGGAAATGGACTAAGTGACCACGAACTCAAGTTACGTACAACTTATATTCTCGCAGCCACTTTTACAATGGAAAAAGTATCCCCTGTATTTCTATTTGTATGTAGAAAATCGCTGTTATTACCATTTTCTATTAACTGTAAAATGATTTTACATATTTGCAAAATTCCATCTATAACAATAGTGCTTACAGAGTGATAGAAAAAAGTTGTTTTCTATCATTTATTAGCAGAGAAAGAGGGGCAAAGCACAACAGAAAACAGGCGACAAACTGAAGCCAGGACCATGGACGTTAACGAAAGCAGATCAAAAGAAGGCCGACATCCGGAGTTCAGCCGTCAAAGTGCCTGTCAACTTTGGCTGGCGCCCGCGGCCATTCTTCGAGAAGATCTCGAATATGAAATCGCATTGTTGGAAGCAGGTATGTCATTTATAAATAGCTTCATTTTGTTACTATATGACGTTTTGATTGTATTTGCATTACTGTATAATCCGACAATGCCATAGAATTACAACTCCTAAATCTTTGTTGAGCATGCATATATCGCATGGTATTTGTCACAAGAAATTTACATTGGTAGCATTTTGCATATATCTGAGATGGTTGAAGTTTGATATGAGGTAAAATAAATCGACGCCACTTGGCAAAGGTAAATGAGACGAGAGAAGTCGAATGTATGATTGTAGGATGCACTTGTTTTTTTCCCTTTGAAGGAATGCATGTTTTAATCGGTGACAGGATAACGAAGTGATGGAAACTGTTGTATCCAAACGTAATAATACCATATGATCATTTCGGTTTTTCTTGAACGTTTTACAGATCTTTTCACATGGAATCATGAAGTACTGTGCCCGGGGCTTCATGAACGACAAGCAGCGCGAGACGCTGAACCTGCTGTGTGACGTCCTGTCCGCTCTATGTGCCCCCTGTGTCAACAGGTCCAGACTACCAGACCTCATCAGAGACATACACAGATGCCTTGCTCGGCTGGAGCGTGATTTTCCGGTTTCTATTATGGTAAGACCTATCCCAGTAATACGTTCCTTTTGTCCTGTTATTTCGTCACCGTCTTTGTGCTTAATAATGACTAGATATCAAGGGCACATTCTTGGTCAAAGCAAGGTAACATTTTGAAAACAAATCCATCAACACTTTTGGAACTTTTGGGATTTTCTCCAAAATGTCTAATTTCTTTGTTAAAGGAGACTAAAATACGTCAGAGTTAAACAAAAGTTATCGTCTTCACAGCCACGCCCAGCAATTAGTCTGCCTGGTGTGAAGAGGTGAAGCGATTTAACTTTGCATTTGAAAACAGAAACACATGTTCGTCAGGAATATGAAATTTGTCAGATACTCGTACCTGATAGAATCATGTTTTTCTATAGCCCCATGTTACCATAGAAATTTTACATATTCCTCCTTCTTATTGCCTTTGTTCTAGACCGCCATTGTACACTGGGTATCACACATCACACCTTACATCTCCGAGTATGGGCCGTCGAAAACCTACTGGATGTTCTTGTACGAGCGGATGAACAGCTTTCTGTCGGCGAGGGTCAAGAACAGGCAACACCCAGAGGCTACTGTAGTGGAGTCTTACAGGGTGAGTCATCTAATTTATACGTACCACGGCTTGCTGAAAAATCACAATTTGAGAAATGTATCATTAGACGGGTGAATAAATTATCACCATCCACGTGTCTTACATTTATAATGTGATTTTGTGCCGTACATTTAGCATATAAACATAATATCATAAGTGTTTAAAGTGTTGACCTTCACCCAGAGAAGGCGTACAAATCTAACTGTGACTAGTTTTTGTGTGTGTTTTTGCTGTGTCTTGTGCGTGGCGTACCAGACGCCAGTACCTCAAAATAGAGTCCATACCTTTACTTACTTACTTAGGCCTACTGCCCATCCTTGGGCATAGATTAATGCCTTTTCTGAGGGAGAAAACGCACTAAGAATGTGAGCATGTTGAAGCCATACATTTAAGTTTTGTCCGTTTTATAATACAATATTGCACCAGTTCTAGTACTTGCCCTTTGAAAGAAGCCAATTATAGAAAACCGGAACAAAAACCAAGCGACAATGTCCTTGTAAAAACAAACAAACGATAACACTCTGGAAAAAGGGTTGTTTTTTGGCGCGTTTTGACGAGACAATGCCATTATTAAATATTCATGTCTCATGTGCAAGGCGGGCAAAGGGACAAACTTCCAGTGGAATTATGTATAGTTATAGTAGTACACGTATTCGTGAATTTGGTCGCCCGAACGCTAGCCAAACGTTCGACATTCGTGAAGCGTTAGGGAGGTTCGATCACAGTTGTCTGGTTTTTTCTTCGTATTACGTTAGTCGGCTGTTGCTCGGGAACAGATTCGGGGAAGGTCGTGAATGGATGACAGTAGGTTTACATACTCTTGTCATGGAACGTCCTATTATTGCTATGGAGAGGGGAGGCGGCATAGTTGTCTTGCTGGCTACTCCAGATTGACGATTGATATCTTGTGTGGTCTGCTTGTCACAAGGAAGTCTCAAAACTTATTAAACGTATGTTGCACGTATGAAATACTGGGTATAGGTAAAAGCGGTCTTTCCCCGCACTGTAAAGCTACTATTTTTCCTACCGTATCTCGGTGTCCCGGTGTCATGTTCCCTTGGGTCTTTTTCGTGACGTGTGACGTGGGGGTGAAATAAATAGCATTTATAAACAGAATGGTTGCGCCCGAAATGTTATACTAGTACTGTTATCTTCTGCTTCAAATTGGTTTCAAGATAACGTAGTGATCGCATTGTTACCCATGAACTAAGAAACGACAACGCACAACGATTAAGATTATTCAAATTGGATTTCATTGCAATGATCTCGCGCCGCCGATTTACATTATTTTGCGTGTAGCGATTTTTAAAGAAATCGCCATTTTATGTGACAAAT